AACCTCCTTCCTGAGGGGAGTGGGGCAAAAAGTGTGTGTGCTGGGTGAGTGGGGTCCTTCATGATGCAGGTGGCCCTCTTCCTGCATCTGGAGGTGTAGATGTCTGTGATGGTGGGGAGGCTGATTCCGACAGATTTCTGTGCAGCCTTCACCACTCTCTGCAAAGCTATATATATGTATATATGTATATATAGATATGTGTGTGTGTGTGTGGTGTGTGTGTGTATATATGTATATATAGATATGTGTGTGTGTGTGTGTGTATATATGTATATATAGACCAATATCCTTATTACCACAGTTCTCAAAAATTCTAGAAAAACTGTTTGTGACCAGATTAGATAAATTTATTACTAAACAAAACATTCTAAGTAGCAGTCAGTATGGGTTTAGAGCAAAATACTCTACATCAATGGCTCTCATGGAAATAATAGAACAAATAACTACTGCTGTCGATCAAAAACAATATTGTGTTAGTATTTTTGTTGATTTAAAAAAAGCATTCGATACTATTGACCACACTATTCTCCTTGAAAAATTAAATAAATATGGTATAAGAGGACCAGCATTACACTGGGTATCTAGCTATTTGAAAGATAGGAAACAGTTTGTACAAATAAATGGTGTAAGATCTGACCTGTACAACTTGTGGAGTCCCTCAAGGCTCTGTACTTGGACCAAAGTTATTTATTTTATATGTGAATGACTTAGTGAATGTATCAGGACTCCTCAAATGTGTCCTTTTAGCAGATGACACCACATTTTTTTGTTTGGGTAAAGATGAAAAACGGATGTTGGAATTGATGAAGACAGAATTTGATAAAATACAAACTTGGTTTAAACTTAATAAATTATCATTAAATTTAGATAAAACATACATGATATTTAGTAACAAAAAGAGAACTGTTGATGATCCATTTAAAATTGAGGGTGTTGAGATTTGTAGAGTTAATGAGATGAAATTTTTGGGTGTAATCATTGATGAACAGCTAACATGGAAAAATCACATCAATTCTGTAAGAACAAAAATATCTAAATCTATTGCAGTACTATACAAAGTCAGGGAATTATTAAATGATAAAGCTCTGTACATGTTGTGTAACACAATCATTGTTCCACATTTAATCTATTGCATTGATGTTTGGGGGAAAGCGTGTAAAACATTTACAAAACCTATTTTTGTTTTACAGAAAAGAGCTGTAAGAATTATCACCAGAAAGCATTACAGTCACCCATCAAGCACATTATTTTATCAACTGAAGTTATTGAAGTCCCATGATTTGGTAGATTATAGTATTTTATCAGTTATGTATCGGGCTCATAATAACACATTACCATTAAATATCCAAAGAAATGTTGTTAAAAGACAAAGTTGTTATAATCTTAGGGGGATAGAAATATTTGTCAAACCAAAATTCAGAACTAGTCTGAAGGGAAGGTCTACCTCAATCCAAGGAGTTGGATTGTGGAATGTTCTAGAGAGTGATGTGAAAAATGCCAAGTCAATGTGAACATTTAAGAAAAAGATCAAAACTGAATTGTTAAAAAAATATATATGAAGTAGCTTAGTGTGTGTTTTGTATTAGAATTAGATAAAATAGAAAGAGTTACTCATTTTGTTCAGTTACTTGAAGATTATTATGTCTGAAATAAGTGTTTGAAAAAAGGGGCAGATATAATAAGATTTTTTCTTCTTTCTGCTGCCTTTCATTTTAAATCTTTTGTATCCTTTTTTTATATTGTTATGGAATTGTTTTGTACTTTTTTAAAATGAATAAACTTTATACCATACCATACCATATATAGATATGTGTGTGTGTGTATATATGTTTATATAGATATGTGTGTGCGCGTATATATGTATATATAGATATGTGTGTGTGTATATATGTGTATATATAGATATATGTGTGTGTGTATATATGTATATATATAGATATGTGTGTGTGTGTATATATGTATATATAGTTATGTGTGTGTGTGTGTGTATATATGTATATATAGATATGTGTGTGTATATATGTATATATAGATATGTGTGTGTGTATATATATATATATATATGTGTGTATATATATATAGATATACGTGTGTGTGTGTGCATATATATATATATATATGTGTGTGTGTATATATATATATATATATATAT